TCATCACTTTCATCACCATCTTTATGCTCTTGAAGAGTTTACGGCCGTAAACCCTTCAAATGTTCATATATTCATAGGCCGTAAACACCTCATGGGCTGTAAACCCTTCAAATGTTCATATATTCATAGGCCGTAAACACCTCATGGGCCGTAAACCCTTCATATATTCATAGGTCGTAAACACGTCATGGGCCGTATACCCTTCATATATTCATAGGCCGTAAACACATCATGGGCCGTAAACCCATGGTAGTTGACCGTGAACTCCTTTTTGTTCCTCATTCTTGATTCTAACACTTCATTGTGAGTGTTTCCTACATCCTAAGGGTGTTTCCTATGCTTGTTAGTGGTTTTAGACACTAATTTTAAGCCTATACATGTTAATATGTGCTTAATAGGTCCGTACTGTGCTCGGGACTTCATTTAGCATACCAAGCATCTTATATTTGTCATTCATCCAAGTCACTCACAATCAGGTGAGTTCATACCCCTATTCTTTTCCTATTTTTTTAAAGGTTTTCAGGGGGGATACAAGCCAAACACAAATTATTTTTGTAAACTTATACAAAATGATTTCAACGAGTTTAAAACTTATGCAGTTGATACAAATTCAATGACATGATTTTCATTACAAAAACATGCTTATGAACTCACCAATTTTATGCTGATACTCTTTCAAAACTGCTTGTATTCTTATGAAATCAGTAGACAGGTACCTCGCACAGATTTTTGAGAAGACGGAGCGTATAGAGTCACGTCTTTTACTTTTGTTTATGCTTTTGAAGTATAAAAACATGAATCAAACAGATGTAAATACCTTCTTATATATTCAATGTAATGGTTGTGTTTACTATGATTACTATGATGCAATTGTTGTGATACTACATATGACGTCATCCACCCCCAAACGTTTCCGCCGTTCCGGTTTGGGGGTGTGACACCCACACACGCTCCACCAATGACTTGGTAATGTACAAAGTGCAATTTCATGGGTTAGCACCAAATTCACATTTTCCTAAGTAACTAAGATTGAGAATTTATAAGTGTTGAGTTACTTAGTATTTATCATTATACTTTTAATGAAGGGAATTATAGTCCTGTCAAACGCGTTCGGCTAACGACCCTCCACCAGTCAAGGAAGCGGTGGGTGAGAGTGGACACCCATTAAACTGCCATTTTATAGGCAACAACCTTATACCCCCCTTATAGACCGGCTTCGTGAATGAGGCCTACTAACGGTAAGACTGATTTGCTCTTATATATATATATATATATATATATATATATATATATATATATATATATGGAAAAATTCAATAGAGAACCATAATTATATATATATATATATATATATATATATATATATATATATATATATATGGAAAAATTCAATAGAGAACCATAATTATTGGTTCTTCAAGGAACCAAATCTTTTTTTTCAATTTCTAGAGTTCTTTATCGAAAAAAATATTTATAAATATCTAAATTCATATATTAACATTGTGAATGTGAAAAATATTTTTCGGATTCACATTGTGAATTTTCAAAGATTCACATTGTGAATTTGACGTAAAAAAAATCGAATTTGATATAATTGGAAAAAGGATAAAAAGTTATGAATTTCTGTATTTTTAGTTTTTTTTTTATAAAAAATAAGTTCTAAAAGTTGAAAAAAAGATTGGTTCCTTGGTTAATTATGGTTCTCTATTGAACCTCACCCTATATATATATATATATATATATATATATATATATATATATATATATATTATTAACTTATAGTACTATAAAGTATAAGAGTTGAATTTTAACTTTTAAAACTCTAGGGTTTGGAATTAAAGTGTGTATGAGACTTTACAAATTCCAAAACTTGAGAGAAAGTTTTGAACAATTCAAAAATTTTTGGATTTTCATAACTTATGAGTTTAATTAAGGTTTTAAAAACTTTAATGAAGAGACTCTTGAACATCCATAACTTGAGGACAAGTTATGGAGTCCATAAAACTATTTATGAGAAAGACTCTTCAATTATGTAACCTATGACTCTTTAATGGATCTTTAAAAGACAATTGACTTTTGGTAATCCATAACTTGAGGACAAATTATGGACTCCATTAAAAAACATTTAGATCAAGAATTAACTAACAAACAATTTGCAAATAATTCCTATGATCTTACTAAAACTCATAAGCATGAACATTCATATCAACAATTTCAAGAATCATATAAACATACATAAAACTTGAAAATTTTATAATAACCATTGAAAATGGATTAGTATAATCAGTACCACATCAAAAACATGTTTTATAAGTCCAAAACAGTTTAGAGTAATGATTTTAGTCCATTTCCAGCAGCAAAACTCGAAATTATGCACACAGGGGCTCCTACTCGTCGAGTGCAAGAACCTACTCGACGAGTAGGATGCATTTTGTCATGGACTCGTCGAGTCCCCCCATGGACTCGGCGATTTCACTGTTCAGATTGCAAAATTCTCGACTTTTTCAAGCAGTTTGCATCAAATATCAAGAAAACAAGCCTAGGCTCTGATACCACTGATGGGTTTTGAGCAATCTAACACTCCTATGATGTACATGCAACTCTATAAACCTTGGATCTATGTTTTATCTAATATTCATGCAAATAAGAATTTTCCAAGGTTTACATCCTAACTAGCATGGCACGGGGTACTTGTAATATAAAAACTAGTAGAATTATATACCTTTTGTAGTTGCTTGGATTCCTTAAGACCTTGTGAGCCTAGCACCTCAAATGTGATGCCTCAAATGTTTCACACAACACCACAACTCTTGGAATAACTTGAGAGAATAACACTTTCACTTAAAATCGGCTAGCCTTCTTGATCTTGTCTTAGTGGCCGATTTTTTTCCTTATGAGGTTGCTTATATAGTGTGCCACATGTAGGGTTATACCAGGTAAACCCTAATGTGCATGACTTTTCATTTCCCTCATGATCCATGGGTTTCAACCTCCATGGAGCATCCATGGAGCACCCAATGGATCCTAGCCCAATCTAGTGAATCATGGACCATAAGCCCACTATATAAGAATGAATGATTTACAAATCAATCCCCATATATTTAATTAGTCTCTTTTTGATCACATAATTAATTCCAAATTAATTCTTGATCAATACTAATTAAATAATATAATTTCATATTAATATATTAGAACTTATAATATATTAACAAACCATAAGTGTCATTATTCTCATTTTGTCTATCCAACAGTTGAGATGAAGATGCAACCCAAATGGACCATGCCAAATCGGGTCAAGTACATATTAAATATAGTTATGGATTTAGACACATTATCCAACAATATCTCCATTGAAAGTATTTGTAATTAGATTCTAAATCATTCATTATACACATGAATAAATGTTTATTGATACGGAAACGACGTTTGAATTGAGCATTGTTATATAGACATCATCGGCAAAGTAATCATGTACCAAAAGTGTGTGCAACCTCATGATTCCTGTTGATTGACTTTCTAGTCCTCTTGATGGTGTTTGAACTTTCGCATTCTTGACATATCACACAACTGCTGCTTCCATCAATGAGTGGAAATACATATCATTGTCATCGGATGAAGATGACGAAGAAGAAAATGACGAATTGCTCATCATTTTTTGATGTTTGGCGAATGAATTTTTTTTATATATAGATAAAATGGGTGTTTTGTGGTGTATGATTCAAACGGTATAACCGGTATTTATAGAGTAATTGGGTAGTGTGTTATTTAATTTTTTTAAACCCCAAAAGATCATATGACCGTTTTCTTTTCTCTCTTCATTGTAACACAACGTGCTTCACGGATCTTCACATTTACCAAGCTCAGGGGTGGTGTAGCATGGTTACTTACGTGTGACTTGGCTATGCCATCACATAACGCATGTGTTTGCATAACACTTCGTATGGCCTTAAGGGAACCCGTATCAGAGAGAAGCCACCACAAATCTCAACATGTTTCATGCGCTCATGAAAAACATCATTGTTGGCAATATGGATCGCACTATGGTTGCCGAATCAAACAACAATAAGAGATGACTGTGGGCCACCCATATCAAAGAGAAGCCACCATCGCCATAATAGTTTTTGAGCAGCAGGACCTCGATGCTCAGCTTCAATACTTTGGTTTGGGACTAAGGGATGCTTCTTGTTGCGTCATGAAATAAACGAGTCACCAAGAAAGAAACAATAGCATGTGGTCGAACATTAATCAATGGCATCACCGTCTTGATCAACATCAGAAAACAAAACACAGGAAGCTCAAGAGATGATGCAGAAGGGAATGTAACCTATGAAACATAGTGCATTTAATGTTTCTTAAAATTTTCAAATCAACACTATAATGAGAAGTTTGAGGAGCTGCCATAAACTGAGTAATAGTAGAACTATATATCACATATAGTTTCGTGCGAGTGACAATAAAATAGACTAGAGATCCCACCAACCGGCGTAAGAGTATGGGATTAAGTATAAGGGAACCATCGTTGGATGTGAGTCTAAATTTTGGCTCAAAAGGTATAAAGGAGACCTTAGAGTCGTTGAGACCTGCACAAGAAATAAGATTAGACGCATACTTGGCTTGCAAGTAGATGCCAATATCATGAGCAAGCACATCTAGTCCTAGTAAGTAGTGAAGTGGTCCAAAATCTTTCATCTCAAATTGTTGGTGTAGAAAGTCTTTCAAGGAGGCGATGTCCTCAACATCGTTGTTGTGATAATCATATCATCAACATATAATAAAAGAAATATAGTACCAAAATCAATAGTTTTGGTGAAGAGTTCAAGAATCATAAATGCTAGAAATAAAACCTAGTGAACATACATGTTCATGTAACACTAAATTTCTTGAACCAAGACTAAAGGGCTTGATTTAGCCCATAGAGGGCTTTGTGTAAGCAACAAACATGAGCATGAGGGTGTTGAACCTTAGTATGAGTGGAAAATAAAATAGAATAACAATAGTTATCAACGCATTAAAATCCTTGGCAGGTTTTTGAATAAATTATATACCGAAGTATACTTCTGTGTTCATTGTTCAACTTATATGTTCGACTCATAAACTCCAATCACAAATGACTAAAAATGGCTCAATGATGGCTGACACTTGCTATACAATCTACACCTAAAAACAAACAAACTTAACCAGAATAGAATCTCATACAATGTACGTCTTCTGGGAGCTCTTTGGACCCCGTTTCTTACGTGGGTTAGAAGTGGTCATGCAAGAAAACGCATTCACAAGTTCAGAATCCTCATCATTCATCAAAATCTTGGCTTTAGTAGGATCCTTAAGCAATAATTTTGCCACAAGATATCCTGCAATTGTCCATGTCTGAAACAAACGCGATTGTTTCCCTATAAATCTTGCTCTTTTGGTGTCATAATATTCAGGCCATTTGTCTTTAGTCAATCTCTCTTCTGCTATCTTCACTGCTCTTTCTGCTATTTCTGGCCTTCCCATCTTGATACATGCCACTGTAAGCTGTAAATCAAAACCAAAAACTCAGTTTACACAATTCATGTTGAAATTTAGTCAATTTGACCCAAAAAAACTCGATACCATTTCAGAAACGTTTATATAATACCTGCCAGAGTAAAGTAGGCCATGAACCTCCATTGTGGTATGACCAAGGTCTGCAAAAGACCACAATAAAGAATTGTTAATTTCTAATAGTAAATGTAGAGACAAGGTATAGTTTTAATACTATTCTATATATTATTTAATTTTACTTTATAGACTTATCAAAAAGAATAACATTAGAACAGAGGTGTTACGTGTTCTTAGGATCAGAACCCGTGATAATTTGCCATTCTTGACCTTCAAGGGCAGGGTAACAAATCTTGAAAGGCATATCTGCCACTAAATCCGCCCATTTTGCTTCAATAAGATCCAAAATCGCATGTGATTGATCAACTGTAACCAAACTACTCACAACAGACCAAAAATTCCCCAAAGAAAAAAACCTAAAATCCATATGAGCAGGTTGCAGGTTTCCAATAAGATACCCACCTCTATTCGGCATCCATTCCACTAACCATGGAGAGATTTGATCTGGATAAATGTTAAACTTATTAACAGCATCGTAAGAATACTCTTCAGTCTTGTATCGATAGATTTCATTAAGCTTTTTCATATCTATCCAGTAATATTCTCTTATATGAAAAGATAATGCAACAAGACGATTGTTTAAAGCTATAATCAAGTCTGTCGACCCTTCTTCTTGTGCAAGCATCTCTCGTGCACATAATAAAGCAGAATAAAATAAAGATTGGATTTCAAGAGGGTGACCATGAATCCCCATACGCCTATCGATCATACAAGGTCCATCTGCTACTAATAAAGTAGGAAACATATCAAATCCATCAGCAAGACATAGCTTTAGAATCATCTTGATTCCAGTTTGAACATCGATTCTTTCCTGGAGTGATAAATCTCCGGAACTTTTCCCATATGCGCGTAACAGTATAATCCACCATAACCCTGAAAAAAAAAAGGGTTCGTGTTTAGAAAAGATAAAGAAATGGGCGAATGGCATAGTGGTAATTACCGGAATCCACAGGGGCAACACGGCCAATTGCAGCCTCTCCGAAATCAGGGTCTAGAACTTCTTCTGTTGCAGTCTCGTCTCCTTCAAGGGGTACTGTACGGACCTTGAAACTTGCAGGCATTAATCCTTGCCCAGGGCTATGGCAATCCATTGTTTTCTCCCAGCTCTAAACACAAGAAAATTGAAGTAAAATGATGAGTGATCTTGAAAAACAGAAGTAAAGAAGATGAAAGATGAAATGTTGGGTACTTGGAGTTGAAGTGTGTGAAGGATGAAACTGCGGACAATGTCGTATTCCCCTTTTAGTAAGAAAGCTATACCAGAAGGTATGAAGTCGCGAATGAAAACTTGATCGTAGTTAAGTACACTAGAGCTTGTGGGGTCTTTTGCGGCTATTGTACCAATAGGACTACCACAATAGTTTACTATTGAATCACGAAGTAAGTCCCATGCTTCGTCTTCAATCGTGTCGGATGTTGAATCGTCCTTTTCTTTCTTCAATTTATGGATGTCCTTTGAATCCGACAGGTTTGGTGGATGATTTGTGTCTTGAATAGTGTTGAACTGTTTGGGATTATCCATAACCCATGTATCGTTTGCATCTTCGGCGGTTAATCCACTAACACTTTCGGAAGTTTGGCATTTACAACTTAAATGCTGATATGATCGTCGATTTTGGAAGTTTTGACGATGGATGCTCGGAGTTGTAGGAAACTGGCGACAAGTATGAACATTTGAGCACCTGAAGAATCGAATGGCATTTGAGCGGCTTCTCTTTTTACATTTTGTGATGGATCCATGAGAATATGTTAATAAGTTGGAACAAGGGTTAGGGTAGAAGAGTCGAGGTGTAGCCCCACAGAAGACTTGCAGAATTGCTTCAGAAGAAATCATGGCAACACCTAAAACAAGAGCATTGATTTAATCGCCTTTAACAAAATTTAGGGAACTCTGTATTTCGACTATGTGCGTTGCATTAATTTATGACAAAATCAATACACAAATAGAAAAAAAAATTCAGTACTTCAAATGGAACAGAATCAACGAATCGATGTACTTTAATTCAGCGTAAGATTCATGTAATAACAAGTGCAGAAAACCCCTTTCTAACCCTGGTAAAGATGAAAAAAACATCTACGATATTCCGTCGAACACTACGATTCGATTCGAGATTTTTCCGTTAAATCATCAAAAACCCATTTCGGAGAAGGTAAGAAACACCATTTAGGAGTTGGGTTCTGAACAAAACAATGTAATCTTGTGAAATTGAAGAAATATTACGAAAAATACTACAAATTTACCTTCGTGAAGAGATGTTGGATACTGAAATCAGAGACTTGAATCGATGGAAGATTAATAATCTGTAATACCCAGTTAAGCAATCGCCGATTTCCGAGTATATCGCGCAATCTATTGAAGAATGGGGTTGAAACAAGTGTAAAACGAGAAAAACGAAAACTTTGAACGCATGAACAATGGAAGAACTAAAATGCGCTAGTGTTCCGTTTCTGGCCATACATGTCTGCGTTCCGCACTTTATAAGAAAATTTTGTTTTCGAAAATTCAAATATCGTTTGATAAAAATCACACAATTAATATTTCGTATTTAACAGCATCTAAAACCATTTTTGATCAAATTATAATTTATTTATTTACAACAATAAATAAACATTATAGATATCTTTCCGTATATAATACATAGTCCAATATTTTATATTGTATTAGCACAAAAATGTTTAAAATGGATCCAAATGAAAACACGATGAAATAACTTTATTATAATTATTATTATAACTTTTATGAATAAAAAATAAAATAAAACTATAATATCAACATACGTAGTATTTTTGCCATAAGTAACTTCTGTTGGCAATATGAAAGTGATGGATATTCCACGTGAACAAACAAAAGGGCAAGTTTAAGTAACGTGTAGAAATGTTATGGTCCACTCGTGTATGGATAAACTTGCTATTTTTGTCATGAAATTAGGCCAATCCAATATCTTTAATTTCAATATTTAATAGGTTTACACACCATCCTATTTCAAGTCTACTGCACACCAACCTAATATTGTGTTGACCTATATATTTGACTCTAACTTTCTCTTTATTTCTTAAACACAGCTTTTAACACTAGTGACGCAATGATTAACTACCGAGAATAGGAAAACAATAAAATACATTTAATATTACGTTTATGCCCCTTTATTTATATATTATTTTCTATTTTCCTCCCTTTAACTTTACAAACATATACAACATATTGTCTTTTATTAATTTTATTTTTGAATATATTTATTTCGTGTTATTTTTAATATAAATAATCTATCTCACATATAAACAAATTCGACATGTATGATACTTCTTTAGTTATATTGGTTTTTATTTTTTTTAACATTAAGTATCATTATTTTGATCTTTTTTAGTTTTATATATATATATATATATATATATATATATATATATATATATATATATAATTTTTGAAATAAAATAATAATGTATTAACATTAAATAAAAGCATTTATTCTTTAACATACGAGTTTATATGAGTTTATGACTATTTTTTTAATCATGTGTTTATTTAATCTTTTATATTTTTATATCAAGCAATTAAATTGTTAAATCAAATTTGTTGATGAAGTGAAATGATATCAAATATTACATTTATAACCCTTTTTATTTACTAAATGTTGGGCATTAACACACCTAAATTCTTCGTAGGGGCATAGCCGCACAAAATTATTGTTGTCGTTTGTTTTTGTCGTGGATAAGGTAAAAAAAATATTGATGAAAAATTATTTTGAATTTTATTTTTTATAATACTATTTATATTATTATATTATAAAAATAAAATTATTATTGTTTTTTATCTTAATAAAAAATAAGTTTAAAATTATTAATATTAATAAAGTTAGCAATAAAAGTATAATTATTAAATAATAAAAATTTATTGATTTTGTTATAATGAAATAATGATAAAAGTTAGTCAAAATAATAATTATATTGTAATCATAACCTAAAAAGTAATGCAAATGATAATTATATAGTCATCATTTACCTAAAAAATAAGCTCAATGGTAGTAGGTTGGTATGTGCAAAGTAGGACCCTATTTAATTGGTGATTGACGATTTAAATAGACCCGACAAAACTTGTATGCCAACGAGAAATGTATTTCGTTGGCGTATTTGGCATAGAATTTTTGAATTAGCTGGTAGCGAGTAGCGGATAGCTCGTAACAGCGTTTTGTTAAACGCTACATGAAGTAGCATTTGAATTTGGAGTGTTTTGTTTAAACTAATAGCTAGAAGTTTGTAGTGCCGAACGGGGCTTTCCGTTCCGAACACGCCCAAAGAATAAAAGTTTTATTTGACAAAGATTTTATCTTTATTTTTAAATAAAAAGCATTGAATTAACTAACAACATTTTTGCCAAACACCTACAACATAAATAAAAGTTACAGTTTACAGTTTGCAGCTTCCAGTTATTGGCAACCGGCTAGTCGTTTTCAACTACGAACTATCAGCTAGTTTTACAAAACATGCACATGAAAATACGTGGTTATGATTTATGACCCATTTCACTTGATTATATATTTTTTTATAAAACAATAGAAAAAGTTTTAGTGAGATGCGTGTGTAAGCTAATGTCCACAAAAATAGTCAAGACCGAAGCAAAATGAATGTAAGAGAAAAATATGACATTCAACTAACTATTACATCATCTTAATTCAATCCATAAAGATTTGAACCCAAACGTATTTAAAGACCAACAATATTAACTGATGCAAAAATTATATTTAATGACGATAACATCCAGAAGAGGTCCGATTATAGGTTATCAAAAGTTGGAGTATGATTATTAGTTGTCATTCATGAGTAACCAACCATGTTGTGGTATTCTTTCCCGATGTCGCACATTGTGTAGCCGCCAAACAAAAGGCGTATGGTGAGTCGCAACCATCTTTAACCGAAGCACAATTACTCACACATGTCGGCCTTGTCGGGGAATTTTGTAAAATTGCAAGAATTGTATGTGGAAAATATGAGGAAACACACCTAGGACAAAACACACACACACACACTATACAACTTTATATAGTATACCTCCGCCGATCCATGCATTTAGGCTAATATATGATTGTTTGATCGACGTTCACTTCGGTTAATCTTAGAAAACACGGTATGAACATAATTATTTCCATTTATAAACCACTTGTTTTGTTCATCCCCCCCCCCCCCCCAAAAAAAAAACAAAATCAATTGTTGAAGCTCCGCCCCTGTCCGTTCTATTAATAACCAAGTCACCATCCTCATCACATACAACATATACATCAATTAATCTCTCTCTCTCTCTCTCTCTCTCTCTCTCTCTCTCGTAACATTTAATCTATCACCCTTGAAACGTATTCTAACTTAGCCATTAAATCGGACTTCTAGGTATACACCTAGGGTTCACATAAGGATTTTGTGGTATTGTTTCCATGTATCGTTCGAAGTATCTAGTTTGTTAATCTCTTCTTTTAGCCCAATATAGTATGATACCATGATTTGGCACCATCTGTAGGGATGTAGGGGTATGAACTAAACAACCATTTATATACCTCCAATCGATAGACACCACGTATAGTTCCATCAACCTCATGCCTATATTTAAAACATAGAAAGCAAGTCTTCTACCAAATCCAACGTCTCAAATTCATGTGGTTAATAATGTGGTAAACATTGTTATCGGCACAAAAGAAGCGAAAGAATTTTGGAAATTCTAGATATATAAGGTGATGAAATGAACACGTATAGAAACAGAAAAATATGATTTTGAAAGGAAAGAGACCGGTGGTGAAGATTACCTATTTATTCATACTTTTGCCACTAAAAGCTTCAGTTAAACGCCAAAAAAATGGTGGAGAAACAAGTAGAGGAAGTTATCCCCAAGAAGAAGGAAAATGAAACATCTTTCACATGTATTATTTTAAATAACTACTTAAAACATGTTTCTTAATATATATATATATATATATATATATATATATATATATATATATATATATATATATATATATATATATATATATTAGAAATTTGTGTGTGAATGAAGGTCCCAAAAGTTAATTTTTCCAAAATAGTTTGGTAAATGTGAGAATGTAGAAATTTCATCAAGCACAAGATAAGTAAAAAAAAGTCTTATCATAACATAAATAATCTTCCAAATGTATAATGCATCTTTCATCTTCAATATCCTTCTAAGACCCCTAATATGAACACATGTCAAAAAAAGTATGTTAGGTTTTAGGAAGTCTGATGAATAAGTATGTTAGATTTTAGGAAGCCTAATGAGCATTATTGGGAATGGACATTATTAACTGTAAGGAAGAACTTTCACATTCCAAACACAATGTACACCCCTAATAGTTTCAAAACATTAATAGATTTTTAAGATTCAATACTAGGGAAATGCATTCTAAAATCATTGCATTGCTACACATCATCAAATTGTAACACCCATTCTAATAATGAAACTTTTATTTTAGGTGGTCACGGCGTGGTGGAGCTTCACTACGGCGTGGTAGTATTTTTATGACCCGTAACGGACTAGCCATGGGTGCCACGATGTGGCAACTGTATTTGGAGAAAACCTTAATCCTTACGATTTGGGCCCTATTTAAAGGACATTATGGTTAGGGTTTCGTGATCATTTAGCCTCCATCACCCTATCAAGCTCAGAAACCCTAACCCTAGCCTTCATTTGCATTTGTGAACTCATTTTGGTACTTTTGGCGATCTCTGAAGGAGAAGGAAGTCTTTGGTGTGGTGATTCACCTTGCAAGCATCATCTACATCTTCTAGCATATCTTTTGGACTATTAGTGAATGTTCAAGTGTGACATCCCCATTTTCATAGCCAGAAAAGACCGATTTGTTTATGCTTATTTAAAAATCAGAGTATCCTTTTTGAAAAAAATAGTATTGCGGAACTTGTTCCCAAAAAACATGATAAAGATGTTATCAAAGCATTTCCGGAGAAATGTATTTTTATTTAAAAACATTAGGATGTTATCGTCAATACAGAAACATAAGCATAACGAAAATATTACAAGCCTTACAGTAACTAAACTAGTGTCCTAATACTCCTTGAATCTCTCAGCATAATGTATCTTTCATATAGCCACCTGTGATACAATAAACTGAGTGGGTCAGGTTGGGAAACTTGATTAGTACATAGGGTTTTCAACCCACAATAATATAATTATTATGTTTAATCATCAAACAATTAACCCAATTTCCCATCCCCATCATCTTTTTTTATTCTTAAGGATCTTTCCTAAGAATCATATAATTCTTCATTTATTCATTCCTAAGGACTGTCCTAAGGAATAGGCACGAAGTCCATCGCTATCAGGGTTTATCTTCCAGGCACTAAGTCCATAACTGCCGATGTTATCTGTTAGGCACAGCTGCCAATGTTTATTTGTAAGGCACTAAGTCCATAGCTACCAATGTTCATTTGTAAGGCACTAAGTCCATAGCTGCCAGGGTTTTTAGAGTACATATGGTGAACACGTCGTTCACAAACACCTACAGGTTGCGAGCCTGCTAGCGTTCCACTGGACTGTCTAGAATAGTCTGTGGTCATCATCTATACTTTGCTAGATGACTGGATCATCATTAAAGTCAAGGCTTCTCATAATATTTCACCTCTCATCATCTATATCATCTTTTATCTCTCATCATCGATATCATATTTCATCTACCCATCTTTACCCAATATATTTATAGGTATAAAAATACTTATACATTTTAAATCAAGTAAAACATGTATAAATTGTTCATCTAGCATAGATATCAGGAACATAGATAATAAGCACATATAACATGTATTAATATTAAATACTTCATATCTATGTGTAAGATGAAAGTAACTATGCACTCACTTGTTAAAGTGACGACTCGAAATTCGGGCAGTGCTTCGCTTCTAACAATTGTCTTTTCCTTTGACGAAACCTAGTATTATTATCACTAAGTTTTAGTCTAATATATATTAAGACTAATTATTAGTCTAAATTTATCATTAGATCAAAGTCTACTTTCATGATCTATCAAGTAAGGAACAACTGTTGATACAAAAAGTGACCCTCCTTAACTTAATGATCCGCAGTCTTGTTTGTCTACCACAATCTATTCTGATACCGCAATTGTAGATGCTACCGCAACTAAAGTTTGTCTACCGGAGTTGAAGAAGTTGTTTTGTGAACCGTAGTGAACCATAACTACTACCGCAGTGAAGAATGATGAAGACCTTTTGGTTACGTTAACTGACTTAGCGTGTTAGCTTAGCTTTATCCAGTGAACCTTGCATGGTCACTTAAGTCAGTAGAATATTAATTGTTTATTTCAGATGTAACTTTTTGGGACTCTATAAATAGACACTCCCTTCTTCATGTAATAGTATCCACTTTCACAATCTTTTGAACTTTCATTGAAATACAAAGATCATTCTCTCAAATCTCTATTATATTCTGATATCCGAGATCCTCTTCACCTTAAGCTGATCATATATACTAACTCGTGTTTGAATGCAAACCTTGTTATGAATTAGCCTGGTGTTTACTTGATATAACTTGTTGTCATTTATATTTCCTTTTCATTTCCACAACTAACTATCTAACACTTCTAACTTATTATTGTTGAGCTAACTTGATCCTTTGAGATTAACTTATTCCACAACTATTACCTTGCACTAACGTTTGTTCAAGTATTTCTCAAAAGTTTTTTTCTCAACAATTGGTATCAGAGCGAAAGTGGTTGCTTTTTAAACAAAACTATGATTTTGAAAAGCCTTCTATACCACTAAAGCTCATTCTTGAAAAAAAAAACAAAGGAAATATGGCATAAGCTTTCTCATTGAACGTTTCCAACAATGTTGGAGACTCGAGCAGAGCACCAATACTTGTTGCAAATGAATACCACCATTTGTCCCAAAGAACGGAAAGGTATCTTAAGAGGCCCGGAAGAGACGTGTGGAGATCTGTGGAAGAAGGACCCTATGTCCCTGTTCTTAATCCTGTTTAAGCGGATGGTGCTCAAGCACGACTAGGTGGAGGTCCAGCCATAATGAATCGACCAACCAATGATGATCTTGATAAAATGGAGAATGATGCCATAGACTTCTATGAAATCTCTTGAAGTGTTGCTCCTGATAATTTTGACATAATTATCAACTGCAAATCTGCCAAGGAGAGCTGGGATGTGCTCAAGAATCTCTATCAAGGGTCAGAACAAGCTCAATATAAGAAACTCACCACAACACTCAATGTGTTTAACAACTTTAAAGCTCTTCCTGGTGAAATTCTTGACGACTCATTCAAATGATTCAATCTCATAATCATGAAGTTATCAAATGTTGGTACAATTCGAAGCAATCATGAAACAAACATGCAGTTTCTTAATGGTTTAGGAAGACATTGGTCTACCACAAAGATGATTGTGCAAGGGGATAGAAATATCCATACGTTGTCCCTGTTCAAGTTATATGGAGAACTTCAGGCACACGAATCAACTGTGATGAAAGATTGTGCAGACCTCGGTGGACCACTTCAGCCTTCAAGCATTCATAGATGCAGATCATGCTGGATGTAGACTAGATCGTAAAAGTACTTCAGGTGGATGCCAATTCTTAGGATGAAGACTAGTCAGCTGGTCTTCAAGGAAGCAGAATTGTGTTTATTTGTCTACCACAGAGGCGGAATATGTGGCCGCAGCCAACTGTTGTTCTCAAGTTCTTTGGATGAAGACTCAACTCATGGACTACGGTTACAGAATGCTGCGAGTGCAAATTTACTGTGATTCAGAGAGTGCTATAACGATTTCTCATAATCCTATTCACCACTCTAAGACGAAGTACATTGAACTACGGTACCACTTCATCAAGGATCACATCCTCAAAGGTAACATCGAACTCATTTTTGTGCCCACTCACGAAGAAATAGCTGATGTTTTTACTAAGGCACAAGAATCAACTGTGCTGAACTTTAGGCACAAGATTAACTTATTTCGCAACTATTAACTTGTACTAACGTTTGTTCAAGTGTTTCTCAAAAGTTTTTCTCTCAAAAACAATAAGGTAGG